ATTTGAAATACCAGGGCCATTACCTGGATTCGGCTAAGAACAATCTGAGAACTATGAAACAGATTCTAGAAAATTTAGGAAAAACATGGATAACTGCTAAGTTAAACCTATTGCTAGGCTACTCAAGCAGCACTTACTAAGTCAAAACGGAAAGCCACAAAAGCCCTTTTTTGTTTCCAACAGAAGGGTTTTGTCATATTTCCAGCAGGTGCAGCTCCTCACCAATAGAATGGAGCTAATATAAAATTAAAAAAAAAACAAAAAAAAACAAAACAAAAAAAACAGTAAGAGCATTTCAATACACGTTTCACAAGAAGGGGGGAAGGGAGGAAAAAAACACACTTTCTCCCCATGGAAACTCCAGTGCCTATTCTAATTCCGATTGCATGTACAAGGCTCACGAGAACCAAAACGGATTACTCCTCTCCCTCAAAAAATGACCCCTGTCTGATACTGCCTCGGCGGGGAAGCGCCCCCTCACCTTCCAGCTCCAGTTCAGAACAGCCCCCTAAATTCCACTCCTGCTCCCTCAGCTGCACGCAGTAACCCCTAAAGTATGCCCCACAGAGCCCAAGATCCCCCTTCCCTCCTGCCCCCCCTTCCCTCCTGCCCCCCCGTGTTTCAACAATTGCAAGCGGCGCTCACCGCCAGCAGTGCAATGACCCTGACATACGTGTGCATGTGCATGTGCATGTGTTTGTGTGTCTGTGTCTGTGTCTATGTGCGTGCGTGTACATGTTTACACGTGTACTCGTGTGGGTCAAAATACCCCTCTGTGCGCTGCTCACTGCCAGATTGTGAGCTTCTTTGCCGGCGATGACAGCGAGTCAATCGACACGTATGCAAGCGTGGAATTGCCGCCGGCCGTTGTGGCCAGGACCAGGATCATCAAAGACAATCCGGCGCCGGCATGGAACGAGTCGTTTCACATCAGGGTCGCTCATCGAGCGATGGACTTGGTGATCTCTGTGATGGACAGCTCGGCAGGCAAGGATGAACCCCTGGGGACCCTTCGCATCCCTACCTCGTTGATATCGCAGGAGGAGGCAGTGAGTAATTGGTTCCATCTGTACAGGAACGACGAACCCACCGACGCGAAGATTCATATAGAGTTGAAGTTCACACCCATTGCGCAGGAGAAGAAGGAAGCAGGGGTGCCTTGCACATTCTTTCCGCTGCATAAGGGTAATCGCGTAACGCTGTTCCAAGATGCTCACGTGCCTGACCACTTCGCCCCGCCTGTGCTTCTGGAAAACGACCAGCCGTACGAGCAGCAGCGGCTGTGGGAGCAACTGTACACATCCATCTCCAACGCCAAGCATTTCATTTACATTGCCGGATGGTCCGTTCTGCATAAGACCGTCTTGGTGCGTGACCAGAGTCGGATGCTTCCCGGCGCCGAAGGGCTGAGCATCGGCGACCTGCTGGTGAAGAAGAGCGACGAAGGGGTCCGCGTCCTGCTCTTGGTATGGGACGACCGGTTCTCCACGCAGTTGAATCCAGGGGGGGTCATGGGTACGTCCGATGCCGAGACTTTCGATTTCTTCCAGGACACAAGGGTCAAGTGTGTGCTGTCCCGACGCTCACCGGACAGGGATCTCGACGCCGCTGAGGAGCTGACCATCTCGACGATGTTCACGCATCACCAGAAGCTGGTCGTGGTGGATGCTCCAGCGACGCAGTCGTCGGTATCCGAGCTCAGAAGAGTGGAGGCGTACGTCGGCGGCATCGATCTGTGTAATGGGCGCTTCGACACGCCCGATCATCATCTGTTCCGCAAGCTTGCCACGTGGCACAGCGATGACATGTACCAGGGCAACCTCAAGTCCGCGTCCCTCGCAAGGGGGGGCCCTAGGGAGCCCTGGCACGATATCCATGCCAAGGTGGAGGGCCCTGCTGCATGGGACGTCCATACCAACTTCGAACAGCGATGGCACATGCACGTCGATCAGGCGGATCACGAAGATCTGTTCGATTTCCAGAAGAATTGGGATCTCTTCGAGGGCCCCGAGGTAGCCGTAGTGCCGGAATCCGACCCAGATGCATGGAACGTGCAGTTCCTCCGCTCCATCGACACTGGCTCGGTGGTTGGCTTCCCTGACGATCCGCAAATGGCCGCGAAGTTTGGGCTCGTGAGCGGAAAGAACGTGACCATCGACAGGAGCATTCAAGACGCCTACGTGCACACCATTCGCCGAGCGGAGGCGTTCCTCTACATCGAGAATCAGTACTTCTTGGGCAGCTCTTTTGCATGGGCCAAGGACCGCAAGGTGGGTGCCATTCACACCATCCCCGTGGAAATCGCTCTCAAGATCGCGCAGAAGATCGACGCTGGGGAACCATTTGCCGTCTACGCGCTTATCCCAATGTGGCCGGAGGGTGTGCCCACCTCTACCTCCCAACAGGAGATACTCAAATGGCAGCACAATACCATGGAAATGATGTACACCATCATTGCTGAGGCAATTCGGGCCAAAGGACTGGAAGCCAAGCCCACCGACTACCTCAACTTCTTCTGCATTGTGACCAGGGAGACTCCGACGGACGATGAGCACCAGCCGTCCGAAGCTCTTGATGAGGAGGATGTCCACTACAAGAACGCACAACTCCACCGGCGGTTCCCTATTTATGTCCACTCGAAGATGATGATTGTGAGTACTTGCACGCACTTATCCTCCTGTCCTCCTCCCACACCTCCCTGTCTACATTCATTGTGCCTGTCTTTTTTTTTTTATTGCGTTTCCCCCTCCCCCACCACACTCACCTCCCACCTCTCTCGTTTTCCAGAACATGGGGGAGAGAGAGAGAGAGAGAGAGAGAGAGAGAGAGAGAGAGAGAGAGAGAGAGAGAGAGATGGACGGACGAGCTTTAAAAAGGACCAGCTTTTTAAAAAGGACTGCAGCTATAATTGTGAAAGGACTGCGATTGGTGGGATAGTTGATTGTTTGAGGCGTGAAGGGGCCCCTATAATTGTGGTCGCTGATTACGAATGGGTCATGTCTGCTACCTTCTTCCCCCGAATAGAACACACGGTCATTATAGCTGTATCTAGACTGAAACATGCCTCAAATACAGCTATAATGACCGTACGTTGTATTCGGGGGAAGAAGGTAGTTGCCTTGGTAATGTGTGCATGTTGGCCATGTGAAGAGTTCGAGGTACAGGGTGTCTGAGTTTTTTTTTTTTTTTTTTTTCCCTC